CAATCACACACCTTCTGTTTGCTGATGACTCTTTAGTCTTTTGTGAAGCCTCCTGCCAGCAAAGTCACACTCTCCTTGATATTCTTGCTAAATATAAGAGGTTCACAGGCCAGTCAGTTAACTTGGAAAAATCCACTGCCTTTTTCAGCAGAAACACACCCTCAAGCTTGCAGCAACAGATTTGTACCATACTTCATGGTATTTCTATACACAGATCTTCCATATACTTGGGCATGCCATTGGGCATTGGAAAATCCAAAAAGGAGGTCTTTGAATTTGTGTTGATGGCAGTAAGGAAAAAGCTTCTTAACTGGAAAAACTCCTTTCTTTCCACAGCAGGCAAAGAAGTTCTGATCAAGTCTGTTCTTAATGCTGTGCCTATTTTCATTATGTCAGTTTTCTCATTGCCTAAAGGAATCTTTAAAGAGATTTCCATGCTCTGTGCAAATTTTTGGTGGGGCACTGGAGAGATGCACACTAAGGGAATTCACTGGAAAAGCTGGAGCTGGGTGACAACTCCTAAAGATTGGGGAGGACTGGGGTTTCAAGATGTTCAACTCTTCAATGAAGCCCTTGTCTTAAAGCAAATTTAGAGACTCCTAACCATGCCCAACCTGCTGGTGTCCAAGCTCTTGAAGTCCAAGTATTTTCCTAATGGATCTGTGATGGAGGCCCAAAAAACCCACAACTCCTCCTGGATGTGGAACTGTTGGATGACCATTAAAAACAATTACCAATACTGTTTCAGAAGGGATATCAAAGATGGGACCAATACCAGGATACTCAAAGACCCCTGGATCAGGGACTTGAAAATGGAATCCTTTGTTTCAAAGACAACTGCAACTTGCAGCCTGTGACAGTCTCTGAGCTTTTGAATGAGGGAGGATGGAACTGGAATGTGGATCTCCTTAAGGAACTATTTAATGATGCTGTAGTCTCTCAGATTTTGAAGCTCAGATTCCTTGATCCATCTAAGAAAGATAGATGGACTTGGAGTTGAGATATGGCAGGCTTATTCTAAGTTAAGTCTGCATACTCTGCTTTTGTTAAAGACAAGCTTCTTATGCTTGACAGGGCTGAATGTAGTGGTTCTGCTGCCAAAGATAAAAAGGCCAGGTCTCGTTGCTGGAAATTGGACATTAAGGGCAAGATCAAGCACTTTGTCTGGAAATGCTTCTCTGGTTTCCTTCATGTTGCAGATACCCTCAAGCACAGAGGTCTTAATATTGATGACATATGCAAGTGATGTGGAGAGGATAGGGAAACTGCAGCTCACACTTTATTCCATTGCAGCAGAGCCTCTAAGGTTTGGAAATTATCATCTCTGAACTGGGATTTTTGCAATCAGAAAACAGGTTCTTTCAATGACTGGTGGTGGGGTATTTCTGAACTAAACAAAACCTACATCTCAGAATCTTGTATCCAGCTTTCCACACAAATCCTTTGGTGGTGTGGAAAGCTCGTAACTTATGGGTGTTTCGAAATGAATGCTGCCGGAGAAGTTAATCGTGGATAGCGCTTGGCGGGAGTGGATGGAATTTAAAAACAGAAAGCTCATTGTTGCTTGATATTTGGTTTAGCCGAGAGTTGTGTGTTGATTAGGTTCTTTATGTTCAGTTTTCAACCTCAATTTCTTATTAGTTGCGAGTTAGTCCTTTTAGAATATAGGTTTCGAGTGTTATGCTTGTCTATAGTCTTAGTATTATGTTCATGGATTTAGGACACTTCTTAAGGTGTTCCTCCTTGTTGGTCGTTGTATTCGGATTAGTTAATCCGATGATTTGTACTATCTTTTTATCAATGAGATCATCTATCGTTTGGAAAAAAAGTGCATTTTGTTAGATTTAAATAAAATATATAATAATTCATATTTAGTTCATACGAAAGTTCATCCATAGTGCATATTTGTTATATTAAAATTAAATATATAATGATGCATATAATTTAGTTCATTCATGATGCATATTTAGTTCATTGATGATGCATATATTTAGTTCATCCATTGTGCATATTGTTATATTTAAATTAATATATAATGATGCATATTTAGTTAATTCATGATGCATATTTAGTTCATAGATGATGCAAATTTATTTAATACGAAATGCATATTTGTTATATTTAAATTAAATATATAATGATGCATATTTAGTTAAATCATTGCACCTATTTAGTTCATACGAAATGCATATTTAGTTAGTGAACAATGCATATTTAGTTCATGTGAGATCCAATCATAACAATTTAATTGTTTTTAATTAATTATATAATAATTCATTAGTTATTATATTTAAATTAATTATATAAAATGCACATTTTATTGCATATTTTCGCTGAATATTTAGTTCATTCATGATACACATTTAGTTCATAGCAGGTAAATATTTAGTACCTAAACAATGCTTACTTAGTTGATATTATTGGTGCACATTTAGTTCATAAGGAATACATACGCAATTCATATCATATGCATATTTAGTTCATATTAAATGCATGGTATTGTTTATTATCATGTTGGGATCGGACACTCGGGTATTATCCTGGTGAGATCTCTTTTAGTAGTTTTCGTTTTTGTTGTGTAGTTGGTTGGTTTACTGTAGTTGCGAATGTTGTATTCTATCTTTGCTAGTGTCGGGATTGTAGGCGGTCTTCTGACCTGTCCTCCCACTTTTTTAGTTGTTAGTTGTTCCATTCAGCTAGGGGCTACGTGTATTCGCTCATTTGTGCATTTTGATTTATAATACTATCTATCATTCGGGCAAAAAAAAATGCATGGTACTGAATGCATATTTACTTCATACATAATGCATACTAGGGGTCAATGCCGGAGTCAACGTCGGATGTTAATGGTCAATGCCAGAAGTCAACGGTCAACGACGTAAGTCAATGGTTAATTGTCAATATAATATTTAAATAATTAAAATAATTAAAATAAAGAATTAAATAAGAAAAATAAAGAATTATTATTTAAATGAAGAGTTAAATTCTTGGCCACACATATTATACCAATCTAGTGGTTAGGAATGAGTCTCACATTCTCACTTTAAGAATTTGTCCTTATTGGAACCGATCCCTACACACACACGTGCACACACACACACGCGCGCGCACACACACACACACACACACATATATATATATCAAAAGTTCAACATCAATTTGAATTAACTTTAGTATTTATGAATGCTAGTCTTATACATTATTTATATTTTAATCATCAATTAATTTAATATTTATTGAAACCGATAAAATAGACGGTAAAACTAGTAGATCCGCTTCCAGTATGATTACATGTATGGTATTTAAAACACTAGCATCCAACCCTTACAAATTTAAATACTTGCTAAGTCAAAATTTTATCTCTACGTCCCTTATCATTTTTTTATTAATATATTTAATAAATCTGTGTATTAAGTGTTGGAGTAGAACAACAAGCTCAACGGATAAACACCTACAACAAATATGACAAGCGCTACTACTAACGAAAATAAGTCAACACAAATAACTAAAAGACGAGAAAGAAAAAGAATACAAAAATTGATAACGAAGTTCAGCTAATATTGTTTACGTCTCAGAGCACCGCGAACCGCAACGCCAAATTTACTAAACTCACCAACAAAACTAGGGTTAAATAACCCACAAATTAGGATTTTCTTAATTAAGAATTTCCTTCTAAGTTAGAATAGAATAGAATAAGGTGCAATTGTAATCCAAAGGCAAGAAATATTTATACTAAAAAGATCCTACATATTTTTTGTATACATCCGATATGGGATAACAAATAAGTCAAAATCTAACAATTCTCCACCTTGACTAATTTTTCTACCATTCCCAACTCAACTGCTAGTGGTGCATCCGAATGCGACTTTCGGCACCAACTCAAATATGCAGAATGTTGGTCAAGTCTAAACAATGTTCAAACTTGACTGATGTCACTACCTTGTCATCATATCTGTAGGATTCTCCGCCGCCTTGATATTTTCCAACACAACGATTCCATCTTCTAGAATCTCCCCCATGATAGCGAACATAAATATGCTTTGTTCTTGCATGAAATACTTGATTTTTCGCTAAGTGAATAGCATTCTGACTGTTACAATACACTAAGACGTGCTTTTGACCAATTTCCAAGTCTTCAAGCAAACTTTGAAGCCAAATAGCCTCCTTCACAACTTCAGTAACCGCCATATACTCTGCCTCTATTGTATGCAAAACAACAGTTGACTGTAAGATAGACTTTCAACTGAGTGGAGTTTTTACAAAAGTGAACAAATATCCAGTTGTAGATCTTCGCTTATCTGAACGATTTAAAATGGAACCTCATTTAGACGTGTATGTTGAGCTTGATGGAGAACTGAGTTTGAGTTTCATAAAATTAAGTTCAATGAGAATAGTTAAAAGTGCCAATTTAATGTACAAAATATGACAAACTAGCAATTCATTAATTTCCCGCCTAATTTTTAGCTTAATGGTTGAAAATATTGTCTAAATTCTTGGATGAGATGACTTGAGTCTCTTCCAGCTTAACCAGTGGTTTCGTGTTCGAGCCCTGGGAATGCAGCAGTGTTAAAACTCTTGAGGGAGAGCTTTGCCGCCCTTGTGGTCCTACCCGGCTCGATTCCGGATTAGTCGGTTTCTCTGTGGATCCGGAAACCGGAAGGTTCCTGTACCAAAAAAAATATTGTCTAAATTTTTAAGTTGGTGGTTTAATTTAATAACTGGTCAAAAAGTTTGCTTAAATTCACAAATATCATACACGCGAAAATGAAGTTGGTGAAAAAATGAAAAGTGGAGATGAAATTATGTGAGACGAAAAATCTTCCACTGTCACGCCTGAGCAGAAGGTAAGGTAATTGAACTATTCACGAGTCACGCCAACAAATAAGCAGAGCAGTGCTGGGCCTATATACATATTCATGAATTCAGAAACAGCACAACATATATTTACGTAATTATATATATTGTAATTGTAATTATACATGAGATCAGGTGTAAGAAGCATGAATAATACTAATCTCATAATAGTGTCTTTGATGATCTCCCTCCTCCTCCTCATGAGCGTAAGCATGAGTCTTGGCCAAAACAGTAATAGTAATATTACGGTGATCACCCTAATTCACAGGGACTCCCCTTTATCCCCTCTCTACGACCCTTCCCTCTCATCCACTCAACGTCTAGCCAACGCGTTCCAAAGATCCCTTGATCGGGCCACTTATCTGACCGCCCAGGCAAACGGCCAGCTACTGCCGGTCCCAATCGTGAACAGCCAAGGCGACTATTTCTTCAACTTCTCAATTGGCTCATTCTCTACCGCAGGCTTGATCGACACCGGAAGTGACCTCATCTGGACCCCATGCAGAGCTGTCTTAAATCCCCCTTCTTCGAACCCCATCCCGTGCCGCAGTACACGCTGCAACATACTGCCAGCCACCACCTGCTCTAGGACTAAACCAGTAAACAGATGCCACTTCGACATGACATATAGGAGCGGGAGTTCGGCCGCGGGCAACCTCTTTGAGGGCACCTTCACGTTGGGCGGCATCCACCGAAATAACATCGTTTTCGGATGCGATTATACGGGCTATGACATTGGCGTCGTTGGCCTCGGGGGCGGCCAAGCGTCGCTCGTGCAACAGCTGGGCCAGGGGAAATTCTCCTACTGTCTCTCCTCAGTGTGGGACAACAATTATAAAAAAACGAGCAAGATGAGTTTTGGCACCTCCGTCATGGGCGGCGTGTCGGTACCTCTGCTGCCAAGGCCCAGAACCCCGACCTTCAACATGGTGGAGCTCCAAGGGATCAGCATCGGGAGGGCCAAGTGGAATGTGCCACCGGTCGACATGATCGTGGATACAGGAACCACCGTGACAAATCTTCCGGAATATCTCTACAACAACCTAAGGCAAACCGTGGTGAACTGGGCACGGCTGACGCCAGTGCGGCCCCCACGTGGGGTACCCCTAGATTTGTGCTTCAACAAAAACAAGGACTTCAACACTTTTCCAGTTGTCAAAGTCTACATAGGCAGGGAGGGGAAATACATAAATTTGGACTACAAAAATCTTGTGGCAAGGGTACTTCCTCAGATGTGGTGCCTTACAGTTATCTCGACAAAGGGACAACCTATTTACGGCAACGCGGCACAGACCGATTTTTGGGTTGCGGTCGATCATGCTCAAAAGACTATGACCTTTCAGAAAACCACATGTGGCTAGCTACCTAGCTTTACAAGGTTGTGATATGAGCTCGTCTGCTATGTGAGGGCAACTGTCATCAGTTTGTTTCAGTGTTCTTTTTTTTTTTTTTTTTTTTGTTGTTCTTTCTTTATAACGTATGGTGTCATGTTTTGCGTCGTTTCTCTTTACGGTCATGTCAAGCTGCGTTAGTGCAACTTCGCGGCCTCTTTACGCTTGTTACAAGAATGAATTCTCCTTTCAAACAATAATAATAATAATAATAATAAGAATAAAAATATATCCGATTAAAAAAATTAGGCGTGTTTAATTTGCTTGTCACACCGTTGGCCACCTACACTGTTTAAATAATATTTTTATTTTTTATTTTTTATTTTTTATTTTTTTTACCCCAGTTGATTAGATTATCACTAATAACCCCAGTTTATTTTTTTATTTTTTTCTCTCTTAAGACAAACAGTTTACACTTCGTAAGTTAATTTGTCTCATAATCAATAATCCATCAAATTTTCATTTTTTCCCCAATATTTGTTCACTAATAACTCCAGTTGATTAGATTACCACTACAAAAAAACACTTCAATTCAAACGAAAGATTCCAATGGCAAAAATTTACGGTTGGAAATTCCCATGAATATTCAACAAACTTAATTTTATGTTGGAATAAGTATTTGATGGTTGAGGAATTCCAACGGATTTTTTCCATTAGAATAGCTGCAGGAATTTATTTGCATAGAATTTTCCGTTGGATTTTAGTTATTCCAACGGCCGTTTTTCCCACAAATTTTTATACGTAGGAATATTCGTTGGAATAGCTATTCCAACGGAAAATATAAAGAATTCCAACGAAAAATTTACATTAGAATGTAAGAATTTTTTTTGTAGTGTACGCCCAATAATGAGATTACGGTGCCTGATAAAATTAGCTAGGAAATTTGTCGGTATAAAAAATAATTTATAGAAATAATAATGAAGTGAATCTTTTTCAATATGTGAAGGAATAGAGGGAGAGGCTTTTGACTTATCAGATCAATTCACATGAGAATGGTTCTCAATGACATGAATGAGAATAAATTGTAGCCATTTGATCAAAAAGTCAAAATTATACCTTCACTAAAAGTATTGTAGTAATTTAAACACCTCACAATGAAGTGGGTCCCAATAATACATATTAGTTCAAGAAAATAGCTATTTTCTCCCAATTTTTAAGTCCTGCTAAGTTTTTCACACCACCCAATAAAAAGTTAAGTTTTTAACCTTAGAAAGTACAAAGAGATATGCGAAAAACTATACGATAGATAGACGACCGGTATGAGCATGGACGAGAAAATTATGAGTTAAAGTATGCAACGAATATGCGGAGATTCGATGTACGATTCGGTCAATCGCGGTCCGTCGCCCATTAAATAATTATTTTTGTTAGGCGAATGAACTGCGACTATTAGTCGAAAAAATTATTCTGCGACATACCAACGTTATTATTCGCAAAATTGGTGCATATTAAGTTTTATTCGTATTTCTTTCATCTTTCAGTTACGCGAGGCGGTATGCGAATTGCCGCATATTGCTCGCATACGCCCTTCGTTCTTCTACTCGAAAGTGTATTTTTTATTATTTTTTTTTTATTTCTTTCATCTTTCAGTTATTTCAGTTATGCGATGGGGTATGCAAATTGCCGCATATTGCTCGCATACCACTTTCGCACTTCTACTCGAAAGTTTATTTATTATTTCTTTCATCTTTCAGTTAATTCAGTTATGCGATGGGGTATGCGAAAGCCACATATTGCTCGCATACCACCTTCGCACTTCTATTCGAATGTTTATTTTATATTTCTGTTATGTGATGGGGTATGCGAATTGCCGCATATTGCTCGCATATCACCTTCGCACTTCTATTCGAAAGTTTATTTTTTATTTCTTTCATCTTTCAGTTATTTCAGTTATGAGATGGTGTATGCGAATTGCCGCATATTGCTNNATACCACCTTCGCACTTCTACTCGAAAGTTTATTTTTTATTTCTTTCATCTTTCTGTTATTTCAGTTATGCGATGGGGTATGCGAATTACCGCATACTTCTAGCATACCCCCTTCGCGCTTCTACTCGAAAGTTTATTTTTTACTTCTTTCATCTTTCATCTTTCATCGAAAGTTGATTTTTAAAATTTAAATTTTTGAATGGTTTAGAACTGCTGGCAGTTGGAACGTTACGGCCGATTTCGAGGCGTCTTATCCGCTTTTCGAAATGCCTGGGCAGTAAAAGCGTGCACGCGAATCGTTTCATTCGTCTATATAAAGCGTGTAATTTTCGATCCATATCATGCCACTTCTCTTACTACCCATCCATCCCCCAGAACTCTTTGTTAATGGCCCTCCGTTTTTCCCTTTTCTTGTATATGAGAAGCAGTTCACCGGAGATAAACCAGAGTTACAAAAATTCTTTCTTTCGACCAGTGAGGCAATTAATTAAGATTACTGTGTCCGAATTGAGAACTCCTAACCTTCCGAATTCGTCGGAGGAAAAAATTCAACGAGCGGAAATTACGCTATCCAACTTTATTAACGTGGCCCCAGCAGGAAACATATATGCCGAGACAGCAACGATGAAGATCAAACCTCTGAGCCCGAGTATTGCCGGATCAACTGTGAGAAGGTTGAAGGTCGGAACGGCGCGCGTCGGCGGCTGGGGCGTAATGGCCCGGCCCTCTGTCAGAGGCAATTCTGGCCTCAACCTCTCGAGGTAGTGGTCGGCCAGGTTTTCCTGACAGAGGAAGGTGGTTGTTATCGAAGGAGTTTTTCCCCGAACTCGTCAGAGCCCATCAGTTGAGAGCGTGGTGGTCGTGGCCGATCTCATGCTAGAGTTCTAAATGGAACTCCACAAACAAGCTCCACCTACAACTCCTCTTTCTGGAGTCTGAGTGCTGTGGTAGCTCGTCGGCTCCCTCGTCCTAGCTTTTGTTAGTCTGGTCTTCGATTTTTTTTTAACTTTGTAATCAGCTGGGGTTGAAGCGATTGTAAGAGCAGTAGTGTATGGATTTTTGTTCGATCTTTTATTCTGCGAAATACAAACTTCGCATATTATTCGCCTAGTTGGTGCATAATAAGAAAAAAAATATTTTTGGAAATTTTCTATT